CATGGCAGTCCAGATATTGGACTTCTACGAAAAAAGTTGAAAAGGGTTATGTAATTTGGATCAGTCACTCTATATATGTATTTTTATATTTTCTTTCTCGTTCTCCTCTTTGATTTTTCTATTGGTTTTCTTTGATCTTCATTCCATATATATATGGATATATTTAGTTCCTTTTTCATTCATTACTTCTGAAATAAAGATCACGATTATACGCACGTACGCGTATATATATATATATCTAGGAGAAGGGACAGGGAAGAAGAAAAGGTTAACACAGCGATAAAATTATTTTTTCACTCAATAAAAGTACACGTGAGCACATTATCAACGCTACATGAATGTTTTTTCTATTCTGTGTATCTGACATGCCGAGAAGAAGGGGGACAAAGAATGAAAAAAAATTCTGTAGAGACGTATGGGCACTCAATGATTAAGTGGGTTTTTTCCCACCGAATACTGCATATAATACCGAGGTTGTCTCGTTGCTTGTCTTCACTCGCGTACTAAATAATGACAGCAACGAATATACACGGCTGGCGTGTGAAAATCGCCGGTCTCCCAGCAAATGTGTCTACCTCAGATTTGTCTAAAGACTTGAATATCGCAATTAATCGAACTGTCATACCAAAAATGCAACATCATTCAAGTCATTGGTATGCATGGATTGTTGATTTTGAGAGTGAACAGCATGCGAAAGAGTTCGCTTCTCGATGGGACCAACAATACCTTCATGAACAATATCAAATCAGATGCAAGGCAAGTGAAAATCCAGATACAAACTTAATGCAGAGCTCAAGTACCATACCAAAGTTTTCAGGCAATCTATCGCATCGTACAACTTTGATCCAACATAAAAAATCTAACAATTCAAATCATGAACAACGAAAAAGAAATTGTTATTCTCGTAAGGGTATGTATAAAAAAACTACGTAGATCTAATTCGTGAATATTCATTATTAACTTCATGTTGAAAGAAAAACTTATCAATATGTCATTGCTGTAAAATTTATCTTCATCTGCTGTTATCACACATCCCGGAAAAGAAATTCTCTTCATAACATAAACCCACATTTGATTTTATATTCCGATCCCGTCTCATCTAATTGTTCTCAGTATTCAATTGGAATACAGATGACATCATGAAGTCTGCTCATTTCAATGCCTGAGTTCTTTTCATCATGTCCTTGTATGGAAAATATTCTACGATAGATTAAATTGAGAAATGAAAGGCGAGTGGAATCTCATTCCTTGTTTATTTTTGTTTTAGAAATTCTCGTTTCGGAAATGTCTCGTACGGTGACTGACAATGATCGAGTGTCCAACAACTGCATGAATATAAATCGTACCGACAAGCAATTCGACGGCAGATGGTTCAATGCCGATTCACATGACAAGTTAACAAGTCAACGGACACAGAGTTCATCGACTGCATCATTACCCAGAAAAAAAGTCTGTCGATCTCGAAATAGTTCCTATTCATCACAGAGTTCAACTCAATCTAATTTTCAACTCTGTCATTATGAATCCACATGCTATAAACAAGATTGCTCATTCCAGCACCTACCTGGTGATCGCGTGTGGGATGATAGAATTCAATGTGACGATTATGAATGTACATCTAATTATCCACCAGGTCGTCCAAATCGATGCTCAAATAGCAATACATACTCCAAAGTCGACTATCGATTATTACACCCCAATACACATTCGGTTGAATGTATCGATGGAGCAGATTGTCGTGTTTTTCAGTGTCGTGCGTGGCATCCACCTAATCGCTCGAAGCAGTGTTCTTACGGTAAACGATGCAACAACATAACATGCCTCTGTCTTCATCCACATGGTCGATCATTGAATTGCAAAGAAGGTATAAATTGTGATAATGTGAGCTGTTCCCGTTTACATCCACAGGAATGGGATCCAAAGAAAGAGAGTAGTTCTGTCCAAATTCGACAACTCCAAGCGCGTATCATACGTCAGAAAGAACAAAAATTAAAGTCATTCCAGCAACGCATGACACAAAGAGCGGCAGCTCAATTACCAATTCTTGCTTCACGTACTGATTTCTGTCAACGATTGATAACCGAAAGAGTATTGGTGGTAACAGCCGAGACAGGCAGTGGTAAAAGTACTCAATTACCACAATATGCAGCTGAACATTTTTGTGATGGTCTCATCGTTTGTACCCAACCACGTGTGGTTGCTGCAAAGTCATTAGCTCGTCGGGTAGCCGACGAGTATGATGGCGAAACTGAAGGTCACTCTGTGGGATATCAAGTGGGTAGGGGTAGTGGGAAAAATATGCATGTACCAGGTACTCGTATCATGTTTATGACCGATGCTGCTCTAATTCGTGAAAGTCACTTCAATCCGACTTTGAGCAATGTGCGCGTCTTGATTATTGATGAAGCTCACGAACGTGTCTTGAATACGGACATTGTTGTTGGTATTGCCAAATTACTGTTTAACACACGTCCCCATGACTTCTTTGTAGTTATTTCTTCGGCTACGATCGATCCGACTCGATTTTTAGAATTCTTCGGTCGTCCATTGAATCAACCATTAACAGTACCCGGTCGTCTCTATGAGGTGTCCGAAGAATATCTACCACCACCAAGTGATTGTAATGATCAAAAACTAATCGAAAAACATGTTGTTCCTACTGTGCTTCGGCTTTATCCAAAGCATCAAGGACATACACTTGTCTTTCTACAGGGACAACGCGAGATTGAACAAGCACTGAAACTATTCAGTTACTCTATGCCAGAAAGATGTGTAGCGTTGCCACTCTATGGATCAATGTCGCCTGAAGAACAAGATGAAGTATTGAAATTCGACGATAACGATGGGAAACAACGAATGGTCGTCTTTTGTACGAATGTTGCTGAAACGTCGCTCACCATTCAAAATGTCCGCCTCGTTATCGATTCCGGTCTGGCTAAAGAAGCTCGTTTCGACATAACACGTCGTTTGACAGTTATAGAAACTGTACGGATTTCACGTTCATCAGCAAAGCAACGCAAAGGTCGAGCAGGACGAACCACTACTGGTCATTGCGTACGTCTCTACAATGAAAGTGATCTGAAACGGGAACATGTTCAACCTGAAATTCTTCGTTCATCTCTGGATCTGGTTATTCTTCAAATAGTACGACTGGGTCTTCATCCAGAAACTTTTCCTTTTCTAGATCAACCCGATCCAATCATAATGGCAGGTGCACTTGCTCTTCTTACTCGTTTATCTTGTATTGCCAATGAGACAAGTTTAACAACACGTGGCCAGCTCATTGCCGAATTAGCACTCGATCCTCGTTTGAGTACTTTGATGATCGAGATGTATACTGATGTTGGAGGCGAATACCTTTTAACTCTTACTGCCACAATAGTTGCTGTTCTCTCAGCACCAGGTTCACTTTTTTTCATGGGCGGTATAACGAAAGAAGCCAAGGATGAAGCGCGTACTCGTGTGGCTATCGGCGCTCATGAACACGATAGTGATTTGTTTTACTTATGTGCCGTATATAAACGTTGGAAGCATGCAGGTATTATTGATCGAGTGACCAACACCTGCTTGACATGTCATAAATTGGCCCCACAACGTTTCGATGCATGTCGAACATGCCGAATACAATATTCTAATGCAAACGGACTTAACAATAAGATTCTTCGAATAATCGATAGTTCATTCGAGTCCTACGTAAAGATCATTACGGATCCACGTTGGAAACTTGCTGCCTGTGACAACATGTCAACAACGTACAACGAACGCGATCTGATTGGAGAACATCTCTACAAGCTTTTCCCCGAACAACTTGGCCATCTTCTTGTCTCTCATCTACCAGACGAAGGTGTACGCCTGATCAGTAGTAATATACGTGCACGAATCATGAAAACCAGCGTATTGTTGCAACGACTTCACGATCATGGACATCAACATTTTGTGTCGATGTCGATTACTCAATTGCCAACAGGTGACTATCTTGTCGACAGCCTACATCCAGTACCATCTCGATGCATAAATCCAGTGCCTACACGTATTGTATTCAGTGCAAACAAAATAGGTTGGCTGGTCAATTATGAAATGCGGCGAAAATTCGATGAGTATCGCTCAGAATCGTGGTGCAAATGGTTGGTCTACGAATACGACCAAACCATCTGTCAAGTAAACGTTTGGGGCATGTATTTAGATGAGCATATTGTCAAACCGATTTTACAATCGGCCTTAAAAGAGGTCTATTCACAACTACTCGATAGAACACGGTCACTCGATTGTGGTCCCATTCGAGCGTCGTTCAGAAGTGGTTTGATCTGTACAAATATTGAAAAAATAGACAACGCATTGCGTCTCGATCTTCAACATGTACCATGTGCCACTATCGACGAACTTCACTTGTGGCTTCGAACAAAATTGGGCATCAGCCGTCAAGATATCAAAGAAAACAGTTTTCGAGTCCGTCACAGACGTATGGAAAATGATGACAATATTGGCTATGAAGCACTCCCTTTTCACATTGTTTTCAAGTCAACTGATGCTTTTCAAAAGGCTTCGGTACGCATACCAACGTATTATATTTGCCCAAGAGGTTCAGCATTGTCTTCATCAACCACAGGTACATACATGGGTGAGAAAGATGCTTGGGGTCGTCAATTAACGATAACTACGGCGCCCGGTGGTAGCGTGCTCAGTGTTGAACAAGTAGCGCGGAAATTATCTCCGTGCATAGTCGACTGTCGAGAACGTGGGAAAAAAATTCGACCAGCTCAGCTAGGCATTTATTTAAGCAATTTATCAGTGGATACTGATGAATCTCTTGTACGTCAAGCTCTTCAACCGATCAATCCAGTCAAAGTTAGTCTTCGACCACCAAACAACGATGGTACGGGTTCTTCATCAGCTCTTATATTTTTTGCTGATGAACAACAACGTCAACATGCTTGGACCATCCTTCAATTCAGTCTATGTCAACAGCCTACCGTAATTACAATTCGCACGAAAAGAAGCCGCTTGCTAGTCCAAAAGAACGTTTTCCCAAAGATAAGCGACGTTCGGCAGAAGCAAACGCCTTCACAGACTTTCCTGATAACGGCCACAAATCGTGACGTAGCATTGAAACTCTTCAAAGAAATCATACCCGATCAGGAACCAACATGGCACGTGGACAGCTCAGCCACAATGACAGTCTTACAGCCAAATATCTATCCAGACTTCGACCAGCTTTTGCAGGGCATTTGCAAACAGTTTGGAACCAACGTTCAGCAACAAGTCTTAGAGAAGAAACATCACCATGGTATAAATAGTTATGGCATTCGATGTGTCTTCAGCCATGCATCTCCACCAAAAACAGCCCTAGCAGCAGCCATGCTCGCTCAAGCTACATCGTCTTTAGTTATCAAAACAAGTGACTATCGACAAAAGTGTTTATTCGATGAACTGTTCGAGCAAGACTTGATTCAAACATGGTCCCGTACTTTAAATCTAGTCGTAGTTGAGAAAAAAAATAAGGGGAATTCAACGATCGAAATTAAGGGTCCCCAGGTCCAGAAGGGTCGACTGATGCGTCAGATCGCCGATTATTCGGATGAATTCGACAGTCGATTTCGAATCTACGACTTGAGTACGAGAACAGCTCAGTTTTTTGGACGACAAAAAGCGGCGAATGCCAAAATGGATCAAATTGCTCAGAAGTGGTTAGATCAAGGTTGTCGTGTTACATATCTGTATAAGACAAAGTCTATTGCGATATATGGGCAACCGAAGATAACGCTAGCCACTATTGATGAATGCGACAGAGAGGTCAAACAAATGCTCTCTGGAATCACAGTGAGCGATGATCTTCTTGGTGATAACCGACAATGCTCATTCTGTGGGCGAATGTCCGCCTTCATTAAAAGATTGCGTCTCTGTGGACATACTTATTGTCATTGTGCTTCGAGTCTATTAACACAAACTTTTCCGTTGCAATGCCACGATGCCAACTGCAAAACAAACATTGATATTTATGATCTGCAAGAGATTTATGAACCTGAAGAAATCATTCAAATATGTAAACGATCACTTCAACATTATCTAATGGCCAATGCCGATGCTGATGATCGGATATTTTGTCCAAATGGTGAATGTGATGGACTGATCAAGAAAAGTGGAGTTTATCAGACATGTCTCACTTGTGGAGAACATGTCTGTGCCCTGTGTCATATTATCGATGACGATCTTCATGAAGGACGAACATGCGCTCAACGGATCAAGATCATCCATGAAATGGGAGAATTTCTTCCACGTCTATTTGATGCGGGCGAAAAATATGCACGTGAGAACTGGCCGCCCAATTTATCACCGTTAATTCGAATCGAGTATAATATGCGTCTTGCCGAAAAATGTTTGTCCTTAGAACGTTTTTATAAAGGTGTAATCGCTCTCGGCGATCATCTACCACCAGATCTAGCCCGTGGCTTCTTTGCCTTTCACGGAACAGAAACAAAATCGATTCTTCCCATTTGTATCGATGGATTCGATCCGCGTCGTCGCAAAGGTCAAGCATACGGTGTGGGCGAATATTTTGGTGTTACAGCAGCCATATCTGATGGCTATTGTCGTACAAACACGGCAAGTGAAATTAAGACAATGCTCGTTGCTTTTATTCTACGCTGTCCTCAAGTCTCTACCAAAGTTGGATTCTGCCATGTGGTTAATAACCCGATCGACTGGTCTTATGCCTACAATTTACCTGTCTTGATAATTTCCTATGGTCAACAAGCTAGCATTCCATCAATTGTAGCAAGTACTCCATCAGTTATTAGAAGCATTCCATCAATTGTAGCAAGTACTCCATCAGTTATTAGAAGCACTCCATCAATTGGAGCAAGTACTCCATCGACCATAACGAATATTGCATCATCGAGTCAAGTGAAAAAGAAAAACTGGCCGATGTCCTGTCAACTCATGTAAATACTTTTTGGATCGACACGCATCTAAATTACGTTTGATGAGCGTCCGAAACGCAAAGTACGAACACATTGAGACGTAGCTCAGACGGAACATTTTTTACATCAAGACGCGATACATTCCAGAAATACACCTGGACGCGTTTCCCAATAGAAATGCATCTGGGAGTGTTTCAAATGAAATTTAAAAAAATATAAAAATAAATTTCAATCCATCTCAGATTGGAATAGTGACATCATCAACATATTGTCATCATGGTCTTCACCTAACTTGGCCAACGGATTGAATTATTACCTTAAGCAACCAAAGTCAGATTTAAACAGGCGACCGAGTGACCAGAACTCATGTATATGCACGACTGAGCTATAAAAGCTCGAAATGATTTATTGTTCAATAGAAAATATGTTGGAAGACTAACTTAGTCCTTACAATTTATTAGAGCAACAGCATCTACTGTTATGAACTAGAATATTTTCTATTTAATGCATGTTTCTATTTTTTTCTAATAATCAATAGTTCTACGCTTAAAAGCAAATGTTATTATCTTGCGTTGATCATGACGAATGTCACAAAATATTTTTTACTTATTGGATACAAGGTCGGCAACACGTCGGAAGGCTTGATATATATGTCGGAGTTGACTTTAAAATTCAGTTGCCTTTTAAAGGCACCTAGTTGACTTTAAAATTTTTCAAAAATATTTCAAAGTCAACTAGTTGCCTTTAAAAGGCAACTGAATTTTAAAGTCAACTCCCACATATATATGTATATAAAGGGTGTCCCAGAAGTTCTGTTACAATTTTGAAATTCATCGTTCTCGCGTTCAACAAAAGGCAAACTTCTTGAAACTTTGGCAGATTATTGTACCTATCAAGTACTACATAACTACAAAGTTTGAGATCTATAGGTTGTACTATGGATGAGATACCATAACAACACTGACATGCAGTATTTTTTTTAATTTTCCTGGTCATCTTCGAGGTATGCAACATTTTTTTATTTCGTCTATATCTTAGCTTAGGTAAATGATAAAATCTT